AGTTATGTCAAAGGTTTAATTTGAACTTAAACAGATTTTTTTTCAGAAGAAAAGAATAAAATCTTTAAATGAATTTCTTACTAATTTTTCTTAAATTTATTTGTACCTGGAATACTGTTTCCAGTTTACTTACTTAAGCAAAAAATTGTTCTATGGTCGTATATTATATGTTTAAACCATTAAAAGATGAGCCTTAAATTCTGATTCATTATACCTTGAAATCTCTAAGGATAGTTTTTTAAAAAAACATTTTAATGTTTCGCTTATCTATTTATCCTGAATATAACACAAAAGAGAAGAGTCTCAAAGTAATTCTTAATGGTATATGTATTTCCTAAATGCCATGGAGTTTTTGACTATGTATTAAACTCTGCAATTTTTAATTTTTAAGTAAATAAAAATTGCAGTTTCTATCATAATTGCAACTGTTATTTATTGGGGAAAAGTAGTTGACGAGCAAAATCTCATCCCAACCCAGAAACCCTCTCTACAGCAGTGGAATAGAGGGAAAAGAGTTTTATAACTGAAAAGCATGGAATCAGGATGTGCTTTGCATTAAAGGAAATCCGCTAAGAGGTGGCCAAGACAGAAAGAAACCTCACCCTCCGTGCAGCGGGCAGACGGCCCACCGCGCCAGCTCTCCAGATCAGCAGCTACCAGGCCTTCACATCACGTGTCGCATGCGTAGTTCATTTTAAATTCACCCGTAGTTGGAGTGTCCACCTGCGTTTGCTAACTGACTTCATCCAAGTGAAAGCGAAACTTTTCATCCCTTTAAGATGAGACGCAGTTTTGCAACTTGAGTCCAGGTCTTTGCTAAAGTTTGGCTCCTGGCCTCTCACAAAGGCCGGAAGGAAGAACCTCTTCCTCCTTGACGGTTCCATTTCAAAGACTGGGCTCCCAGTACTTGAGAAAGACAAACCTGGGTTGGCAAGTTGGCAAGAGGTTTCTTTAACTTTTAAAAGGTTTATATATGTTTCAAAGAAACAGAGAAATAACCTACAATTATGAGTTTCGTAAGGTAAATGTTCCAAGTCTTTCCCCTTATTTTCAGCAGAGAGAATTAAGTCTCTTTTTAAAAAAAAATCTTTGCATTAAAAATTACAATTGTAAATATAATGAACAAAGGAGCATGGAGGTTATAAACAGAAACATTAAGAGAAACAAAGGAACCTCCCCCTTCTTAGTCTTTATTGTATATACCTTTTCCACAGCATTTTTAAAATAAAAAAAAGAGAAAGATTTAAAATAATGTTATATAAATGTAGAACAGATTAGGCTGCAACTTCCTTTTTTATATTTCACAAAATAGCATGTATATCACTTCTGGTTAGTAGATAAATAAAGTAATATTTGATATTTATCACTTCTTTATATGCTAAGTAATCTTCTAAATGCTTTATATGTGTTAATTAATCTTTATAACAGTTCTGTAAGTAGTTACTAGTATTGTTTGCATTTTACTGAGAATCAACTGAAACAAAGAGTAGTTAAATATTTTTCTCATGGTGACAACCAGGATTAAAATCCATTTTTAAAGCTCATTATATTAATACATTTGTTATGTTGACTCATTCATGTTTAATAAGCACACAGAATTTTATTGTATGGTTGTAATTTATTTAGCCAGTTCCTTTTTTAAAAAAAATATATCTTTATTGATTTCAGAGAGAGGAAAGGAGAGGGAGAGAGAGAGATAGAAACATCAATGATGAGAGAGTCATTGATCGGCTGCAGCCCGCAACCTGGGCATGTGCCCTGACCGGGAATCGAACCCTGATCACCTGGATCCTAGGTCGACGCTTTAACCACTGAGCCACGCCTGGCCGGGCAGCCAGTTCCCTTTTGATATACATTTGGGCTATTTCCAGTTATTTGGGTGTGATGCAAACAATTCTGCAATAAATGAATTGAATCTTGTACTATTATATACTGGTGCTGAGGCAGGATAGTAAGAAGCTAGGAAAATTCTTTGGCAAGTGAAACAGGGAAACTGAGACAGATAGCTAAACGGTTGAGCAATTTACAGCCAGATAATAAATCACAAGGACTTATCTTCCCCAACCAAGGACACTTTGGAGCAAATGGTTTACACATTCCAGACCCTGGTGGGGCAGGCCTGTCTTGTCCCTGTCCCTCTTTGGTGACATGCTCTGAAGGTGAAACTGACCAGAGAATGACCCTGAGCCCCTCTATATGCTCATTTGGGTGAATCAGCATATGAAAGGACACACCTGGAAAGCTGATGAATATTCTATTGAGATCCTCCCCTAAGACCTCCCTTAAAATCCCCACCTTCAGAAAACAGATAAGGACTCTTAAGATAAAGAACCCAGTGCACAAGCTATGCTCTCTCTCTTGAGCACACCCACGCCTTCCTCCCCCCACCCCCTTCTTTCCTCAGGTGCATAACTTTGCTTTCTTTCTCCTAAGCTCTAAGATTCCCAGGAGACTTGCAACCAGGGGAGCAGCAGGCAGCAGCAGCTCATCCTGGGCTAACCCCCTGAACCAGTCTCCAAGGGCCCTCCTTTTGCCTCTGTAGCTTGTTTCCTGAGTCCACGCAGCCCTGCTGGCTCACTTCTTCTGCCCTGTGACTTTCTTTCTAAGCGGTAAGGCAGCCACACCTAGGTGCACTCCTGTTGCTATGATCTTGCCTCTTCTATCTTAAGCCCTTCCTTTATTTCACTGTCCCCAGCTTTAATAAATGTACCCTCAGAACCATCTGGACTCATTATGAAAAGTTTCCTGCATAAAATCACAACCTACATAATCCAGACCATGCTGGGGGCAGACCCACCTTGGTCCAGGTCCCTTTTTGGTGCCAGTGCCTTAGGCTGTAGCATGGGTTTCCCAAGCTAATTACTGGGTCAAAGATATGTGTGACTTAACTTTCATTATCTATCACCAGGTTAGGTTCCAGAAAATGTTTACATCCCCCTTATTTGTCACCACTCCACCATCACTGGGCCTGTTTTGCATATTAGCATGCATTACATAGACCAAATCATCATTCTGCTGCCTTCTGGGGAGCAAGAGCCTTTGTGAATATTGTGCTAGAGCAGCTTCTCTCACCTGGGGGCTATTTTGCCTCCTAAAACATTTGACAATGTCTGAGGACAGTTTTGATTATCACAACTAATGTGGGAACTGCTACTGGTATTTAGTTAGTAGACACTAAAAAATGCTGCTAAGCACCCTACAGTGCTCAGATAAACGCTCAAAACAAAGAATTATCCAGCCTAAAATATCAGTAGTGACCAGGTTAAGAAACCCTGGTGTGAATCATTTGAATTTTCTCATCTGCGAATTTGTGGTTTGTGAATATTTCCACTGAATTGTCTTTTTCATATCATCTGTCAGGATTTGAAAATTAGAGCTACTAATATTTCATCTTGGCTTTTTTACATTTCTGTATTTCTGGGCTCACTTAAGAAAATCTTCCCAACTCAATGTATATATAAAGCTTTACTTAGATACTATTTTAATTATCTTATTTTGCCATGTATTTAGATCATTATTTCATGTCCTTTTGTTGCTTTTAAAACTACACTGAACGATGTTGTCATTGAGAGTACTGGCTGCTGGCTTCTTAACCGCCTTTTCTACTTCAGCTATGAGCTTAGGCAGGTCATTTATCTGTAATGTATAAAATTAAAGTTCCTCAATATATATATTTTTTTATTATTGATTTCAGAGAGAGAAAGGGAGAGGGAGAGAGAGATAGAAACATCAATGATGAGAGAGTCATTGATCGGCTGCCTCCTGAATTTCCCGGACTGGGGATAAAGCCTGCAACCTGGGCGTGTGCCTTGACTGGGAATTAAACCATGATCTCCTGGTTCATAGGTCGACACTCAACCACTAAGCCACACCAGNTTCCCGGACTGGGGATGAAGCCTGCAACCTGGGCGTGTGCCTTGACTGGGAATTAAACCATGATCTCCTGGTTCATAGGTCGACACTCAACCACTAAGCCACACCAGCTGGGCAGTTTCTCAGTGTTTTTATCAGTAAAACTGGGGAGGATAATAACACATATATTCACCCAGATTAGATTGATTAATGCAAATATGTTAAAAAATTTCCTGGATTTTAGGAAGATGTTCATATAACTATGTCCTTTAGCTCCTACAACTATGGCAGGTACCAGGCACTTGATAAATATTGGTTGAGTTAAATGTATTAAGAACGTTCTTTTCTATGTTGTATTGTTGATAAATATATAAATTATATAGGAAGCCTGTCCTCAGACAGCTTTTGTTCAAATGAAATTACACCACATAGCTTCTAACACAATTTTTATAAACTTTTCCCCTAAAGACAACATTGACAATATTTATTTGTATTCTGCTTGTTGTAGGCAATGCAGAACAGGCTTCTGAAGTTCCAGTGTATGTACAAGTCCTTAATGTTAATGACCATGCTCCTGAGTTCCCTGAATACTATGAGACTTATGTTTGTGAAAAGGCAAGTTCTGGACAGGTAAGAAATAATCAATTGCTGACATATTAATTACATGCTTTTATGTTGTGAGTTCTGTATAAGTTAACTTTCTTTTTAAGAAGCTACACTTTGACCTTGTTTCTGTGCAATGCCATGTGTCCATGGACATCTTACAGCTCATTTGGAATCTCTTCAGAAGGGAATGGGCCTCATGTTAAGAACTTTTAATGCATGACACTACTCTTAACTATTACTGTTAATATTAACGAAATTACTTTTAACAAAGGTCAATTCTGCCCATTTACTCATTTAATAGTATTTTATTTTTACCAAATTTTTATTAGATTGGAATTGTAGAATAAAAGTTGTATCATTTTATTAAAGGACTCATAGCAAAAGAAAAAAAAACAAAATTAGATACCTATATACACACATAAACTCAAACACAAAAAAAGTTAAGCATATGACCATAAAGATCACAAGTAAATTATAATAAAAAGCAACTTCTAACAGTATTAAAAAGTTATAACAGAAAAATAGTATGTTTAGGAGCATAAACGCACTATAAACTTGTATAATCAACATGTTTTAATTTCCAGAATTAATCACAATCTCACCATGTGATCCTGACAGCATCTTTCTTTTTTTGACAACAAGGAACTACTTGACTGACATATTCATGTCTTGAAAGATAATAATTAATTGAGATCTCATTTGTTCATAGCTGCATTACTTCACTCTTATGATGTAAGATAGAGGAACTCACTTGAGGTGGAACACTTTTCTTATCATCTTTATGGATCAAATGAAATCATGTACCTTGCCTCTAAACTTTAAATGCATTATTTTCTTAAATCACTTTAAAAAAACTCAATACTTCAGCAAATACTTTATTAAGACAATAACTTCATCACAGTTCTGCTCTCAGGGAATATATAATTGCAGCAAATCTTAATGGCTAGAATTCAGATAGGGCAGGAAAGAGAAAGGGAAGGGAGAGGTGTAGGCAGGAGGAATGGGAGGGAGCCTTGACACAGCTTCGAGAACGTCTAGCATACTTAGCTTATGAAAACCATCTGGCCCATCAACAAAAGTGTATTCACTGTGTAATATCAAAACACCGTTTTGAACGTGGCATGTAAGGATATTTTAAACCTGAGAAAATATGTTAATATCTCCATCAGTTTGATAGTTTCCTCTGCAGTGTCCCTAAAGATTTTGGTAAAGCAATTTTAATAAAAAATCTAATAACAACAACAACAGTGATCTTTTTTTTAAAATAAATTTGAAAAAAACAACCCCACAAAACAAACAAAACCTTTTTCTGTTTTTTTTCTAGGTAGTTCAGACCATCAGTGCAGTAGATAGAGATGACTCTATAGAAGATCAGCATTTTTACTTTAATTTATCCATGGAGGACTCCAAGAACTCCACCTTTACAATCACAGATAATCAAGGTAATTACGTTCACTCTTGGTGGCTTTCGATCCATTCTCCTGGCATCGCGGTTGATTTTAAGCCAACTTACAGCATTGCTTTTTACACTTTTCCTGCACACTGATAATGTTAAGCTATGGAGCAAGAAGTGGAAATGAAAATGGGAAAGAAAACCCAAAGTCAAGTTCCGAAAGTACTGCCCCCGTTTTCTACTGGGCGTCTTGAAACTGGAAGCACTTTTTCGAGTCATCCGTGGCTGAAAGTCCTCGGAAAGTCCGAATGGCTTTGCAGATATTCTCTCGGCCGAGAGAGGGATTCCCGTCACGTCACCATGTAGCTCAGCCTTCAGCCCAGGCCTGGGGGAGAAAGTGGTCTCGCTCAACTCGCGGTCGTGTTAGCTCGATTGACTCAAAGATATAGGTGTCATTAATGATGGCTATGACTATGCAATATAGGTTTAATGTAATTCTTTTTTCCTTCACAATGGAACATTATCTCAATCTGAGGACAAAATGTTCTAAAGGATTTCATCTGGAGAGACAGAATTTCTTTTCCTTCCTTATTGACGTGACTAACTTTATAGAGAGCCACTCTGTTCTTTTTTTTTTTTTTTTTTTTTTTAAC